TAGTCGATGCTGCAGAAAGCGGGAGTTCTGGGGGCCCCCGAAGCACCAAGCTGCTCCATGAAAGCAGCGAGTGAGCACTCTTCAGCGCTGCTTGTTCTGGGGAAGCCAAATCAGAGGCAAACCCTGAATTCCTCTTGCTCACGGCCAATAAAAACCTTGCTTCAGTGCCGGCTTCCTCTGCTGAAATCAGATATCCTAGTAATAAACAAGTCTGAAAGGCAGGGAAAAGCTCTTGCTTCTTTTTTCTGATTAGTTTTTCTTCCCTTTAAAAAAAGTTTTCTCCTATAACAGGACGCCTGCCCCAGAAACTTGAGCCCCGAATTGTGCCCTCTCCTGCCCCTGTACCCCCACTCCTTACCCTCTGGGTTTCTGCCGGCGAAGGGTGGGGCCTGCCTTCCCCAACACTAGGCCACTAGGTGGCTGAGCTCAAAGTCAAGTCAAAGGGTCTTGGGGAGAAGGGTCTTTGCTGCGGGGGGAGTTGACTGCCAGCTTACGGGGAGAGCTGGGTTCTCAGCCTTCCGCTGCAGGTGGCGGTCAGCAATGGGAAAGTGAGGCAGGAGAGGTTGGGACCACTTTCCCCCCACCCCCCGAAGACAGTCCTGAATCTCGGTGCATCACGGGGCCGTAAAAAGCCCAGCACTGTGGATTCTGGTGTTGAGGGCACAGGTGAGAAAGCCAGACAAAGTGCATCTCTGATGAGAGGGGCTCGTAAGGCAGAGGACTTGGAGTTTCCCTTCCTGGGGTTGTCCTCGCCTGGGCTCCCCTTCCTGTCCTCGTCCCTTCCCAGGGTAAGCCGTGTCTGCACACGTGGCCTGCTGTGGAGCGCCCTCCCCTACGTGCTGACATCTCTTCTCTCCCCTCCCTCCCCCAAATAGGTTTTTAAGTGACTTTGCTGTCAGAGATGCTATTCTGTTTGTTTTTCCTTCTGACACTATCTCTCTGGAGAGTTTCTGGTCAAGAGAATTATGTCGAGGCGGCAGATTGCAAAAGGATTGCGCCTAATGGGGAACAGACAGACAAGACACCTTTCAAGTCCAGCCAAGTTTTCCCCCCTCTTTCTCTCTCTCCCAACTTCTCATCTTCCCTTCTTGGCTTCAAAGTTGGCCCTGGTTTGTGCTAGTTTCTTCGGTACAGCTGGCGAGTAAGGTCACACATTGATTTTATTGTGGAGATTGGCAGCTGGGTCAAGCTTTGCTGCGGAGTCTGAGAGCCTCAGGGCGGCGCTGAGCTGGGGCGCCTGGGCGGGGTGGGGCGGAGTGGGGGGGGAGGTGCTGGCAGGGGGCGCACGGAGCCCCCGGAGTGCAGCTTAGGAGGGCACTCAGGCACCCAAGGAGTGCCTTCTGCTCCTTTGTGAGCTCGGAAAACCTATTTGAAATACAAGAAAGGTACCCAAAGCCCCTTCCCCTTTGTCCCTAGCATATTCCATTTTAAATGTTCATCTGTGCTGGACTTTACCAGGCAAAGAGTGTTAGCTCTGAGGTCTCTTGCACCCTTGAAGTGATTAAAGGAGAGGAGGTGAAGTTCAAGGGCCCCCTACCTTGTGTATAGCCCAACAGCACACGGCCACGGCCACGGCGGATGCCTATTGATGCAAACTGGCTGGAAAAGGAAGCCCTTTTCTTTTTTACCTATAGGCTTCTTGCAGGGAGAGGGCAGATTAGTACAACTTCTTGGTGGACGGTTTGGATTCTTTTGCCCTTAGTCATGAGGCTGATGTAATAGCAATTCGACTGATTTCATGGTAAAGACGGTCACAGTTCCCACAGCAAATCAGTTCCAATTGCACCACTGACGACATCCACCCTTATCACAGCCCTTCAGGAATTGGTGGGCGAGTCCTTCCTGTGCAGAGCTTTGGTGGGAAGCACGGGGCCACTGCTTTTCAGAAGGAAAGAAGTGCCTTGGGTTTTAAGAATGTCCCATTTGACCTCATTCCCCCGTGTAGCCGTGGGGAACACAATTTCCTGCCAGTCTGGCTCAAAGGGGAAAAGGGCACTGCTCTGCACGACCCAATCTGGGCCTCGCGGCCCATGGGATAGTTTGAATCTGGCGGGGGGGGGGGGGGGGGGTGGTGGTGGAGATGTGAGTTAGGGAAACAGGATGACAGAAGGGAGAGGCTGGGTTCCACTCAGGCTGGGTTTAATTCTCTCCTCCCTGCTCATCCTCACTGCTTGTGGTTTCAGAGTTTGTTCTGCATTAAAGATGTGTCAGTTTTGCACAACTGCAATAGACTAAAAGCATACAGTTCTTTAACGGGAATACGCTTCTCTTAACTGAAACCTATAGATCTAAGAATATGCCGCTTACCAATCATTATAAGCCAGCTCTGGACTGGGAATCAAGAGCCCGGAGTTTATTTCTTGCTCTGCCACTGACCCACTCTACCCTCAGAAGAGCGTGCAGGGCACCTGGGTGGCTCAGTCGGTTGAGTGTTTGACTTCTGCTCAGGTCATGAGCTCACAGTTCATAAGTTCGAGCCCCGTGTTGGGCTCTGCGCTGATGGTGTGGAACTTGCTTGGGAGTCTGTCTCTCCTCTTTGACCCTCCCCAATGTCTCTCCCAAAATAAATAAACATTAAAAAAAAAAAAAGGAGTGCAGAACCTTCTCTGGGACTCAGCACTCTGTCCACAAAGGGACACCACCATGTAGCCTAAATTATCCTACCAACTTCTGTGAGGGCAAAATGAGAGAATATAGGGGAGAGCACTCTATGTGCCTGGAATGTTTAGAAAGTGAGGTGCGGGAAGCAGAGTATGATTTGAATAATAGAGATGCAGTAGCTGGAAACTAGGAGGAAGTTTTCCAGGACAAAGCCTTGCGGGCTAATTGGGAGCCTTTGAGCATCCAAACCTTCTGAGGCAGACACCGGCCCTGGCAGCTGGTGGCACAGAGAATGCTAGGCTGAGTGGCGGGTCAGCCCTGAACAGCATGCTGTGGGGACCCGGGAAACTTGGTGGGGATGCTATCACTGATCTGATGAAAATCTGGGAGTGTTCTACCTGCTGCCTGTCACGTGTAACAAAACCAAAGTCACAATTTTGTTCAATTTTCTTTCCGCTGTGGGTATGCTGGACAGACTTACCGTGGTTTCCCTTTCCTTATCTGCATTTGATCAGGCCCTGGCTCGCCTCTTTCATTGCTCTCAATCTCTAGGCACAATCCAGGGAGTTCTTTATTAAGCTTAGACCAGTTCCCCTCTCCCAAAGTGCTCCACGGCCACCGTCAGGCCACTAGCCCAGGTAGCAAAGAAATGAGGCATCTGGAAGAACCTAGCGGCGCCGCAAGAGTCAGTCACATCACTTGGAAAAATCGTGCTCTTTGGCCTCCACTCCTGCTCTCTGAAGGGGTGAGACTAAGGGTGAGGGGCCCCTCCCAGGAAATTTGCTGAGCTGGGAACCCCAATGCTTGCCCACAGGTTAGCCAATGTCGCCATCTAGAGGCCACTTAGAATACAGGTTCTTGCAGGAAGAGGTTAGTAAGCTCTTGATTTTGGTAATTCCTGAAATGCCAACATTTCCTTTTCTTGCCTTTAGAAGTTCAGAATTGCTCTCTCATCCACTGTGTGGCTTTGGCCGCATCTGGGACTCAAGGGAAGCCCTCCTCTGAAGCCAGGCTGGCACAATGTCAAGTGATGGGCACAGCTGCTACCTGTTGGTTCCAATGCCCCGCTCCTGTTAATACTCACTCGTCACACAGGGTCATAAAAAATAAATCTTTTAATTGCTTTGTAATTGGCACAGATGGTATAATTCAAACTCACATTTTTATTTACTAGACTCTGAGACATGTTATAGCTCTGACTGAAACAGTGCAGGAATCATAATGGTTTAAGTTTTACAAAATTACATTCAACAGCAGCAGAATCATGTTCTGAAAGTTATTTCATAAAATGAAGACTGGGGCTTGAATAAATAAGGAAAAAACATCTAGAAAATAAACCACCCAGACGGAAGTCATCTGTTATGGATATCTGAGAATTGTGCTTTCTGGTGTTTGAAGACCTTGCTGCTAGTTTATTAACAATCAAGAAGTTGCCAAATTCTGGCTTATATATATAGCAGGGCAGTGGGGACGAGGAAGGGCTTTAGAGGTGCCTGGAAAATGCTCTGCAGGAACAGGAACCTCAAAGCCAGGCCTTGTTGGAACTGTGGGCCTGAACTGGCCTTAAAGGAGTTTCTGGGGAGCTACACTCACTGTGGGGCTGGTCTTTGAGGCTGCCTAGAGATTGAGAAGGAGTCACTGGCCTTTGACATAAGAAATCACCATTAAGAGGATTAGAGTGGAGAACAAATCATAGCATTTAATTCTCATTGAGGAGAGCCCTGTCTCTTCAGGAGGATATTCGAAAGGCCCAAGTCCCTTTATTTTACCCCTGTAGTTTTCAGGGTCCACAGGGACCACCCAGGTAACCAATGACATAACCTCTGATCAATGTGATTTGGGTTTGCAGCACTACCTTGAGCCAGCTCCTGAAGTTACCTGCACTGTCATTCCAGAGTAGGGACAAATATTTACTGAGTGGAGTCAAACCTGGGGGCAGAAATCACTTTGCCCCAGAGCAGCAAAGGTGATTACTCAGTAGGGGGTCTGCATGAAGGGACTTTCCATTAGCGTGGATGACAAATGGGAATCCCTCTCACTTTGGTGATTATAGGCATGAGTGACCACATTTTAACCTGGGGAAGGCATTTGTGGGTTGGTTGGTGCTCCTGGGCAGGATTCAATATCCTGGCTACTGATTTGATACCTGTTTTGCAGAAATGTCTGGATTTCTCAAACCCAATCCCAAGCCACTACCTGAAGTGAGCTTCTTATGTCAGATCCCAAGTACACACGGTTCCCATCAACACCCACAATCATTAGCGCGCTCTCTCCAGGTCACAAGGAGAGCATGGCTGTGCTGTGACACGGGGAATACCAAAATGGAGACCAGGTAAGTGCATAGTTAGTGTTCCTGGACAGGCCCACGGGCCACGAGCCACGGCTGGCTGTGCCTGGGCTCAATGTGCCTGGGCCACCTCCACTGGGGCCTTCAGGTCAGCCGGGGACTTGTCCAGGGCAGGTTTCTTGGAGTAATCTCGCTCTCCAAAAATGGTGCTTCCTATTCGGACATTCGTAGATCCTACTTCAATCTGTGGGAAAGAAGAGAGAGTATCAAGGGCTGAGTTTAAAATCATGCAGCAAATGCTGAAGTCCCGCCTCTCGTTCTGGCTTTGGAGGGGCTTCTATGAAGAACAAGGATGAGGCAGCTGAAGAGGGGTGCAGGGCAGGGGTTCCCTTTGGGACAACAGCACCTCCAGGGGTGTGTTTAAGAAGTCAGGATTTCCTTGGCTGTCACAGTGACTAGGGGACATGACTGCCATTGAGTTGGGGCTGTTAAGACGTGTCACCCTGTGTGACTGAGACACAGTGGCACAACGAAGGGTTGTCTGACAGCCCACACCCCTTTCTAACGTTCCACTGTCAGAAGAAAAAACCTCCCTGTAATTGTTTGAGCACGGGACCGAATTCCAGTTCACTTATAAACACAAAGCATTTTTGCATCGTTTTGATATATATGATTTTCCGAGACTGCAACTACTGGATACACACAGTGAGGTTGACACTTTGGTTTTTAGAACTTGATCAAGTTATTTATTGTTCCAGAGCCACACATCTCTCTCAGCATATAGTTACAGCTGTTGTGAATCTACCCGTAAGATGAACTCCAGACTATTTCATTAGGACTCGCTGTCACACATCCATGCCCAAACATTTATACGGTGCGATGCTTTTTAAAAAAATTATAGTTTAGGGGCCTTTGGCTGGCTCAGTCGGTACAGCGTGTAACTCTTGATCTCAGGGTCATGAGCTCCAGCCCCACAGTGAGTGTAGAGATTACTTAAACACAAAGAAAGAAAGAAAAATAAGAAATTAAACTATAATTTTAAAAAGCCTATTTAAAAAAAATTTTTTTTTTTTAATGTTTATTTATTTTTGAGACAGAGAGAGACTGAGCATGAATGGGGGGAGGGTCAGAGAGAGGGAGACACAGAATCCGAAGCAGGCTCCGGGCTCCGAGCTGTCAGCGCAGAGCCCGACGTGGGGCTCGAACTCGTGAACCACAAGATCATGACCTGAACTGAAGTCGGACACTTAACCGACTGAGCCACCCAGGTGCCCCTAAAAAGTCTATTTTTGAGAGCACGCACGTGCGAAACAGTGAGCCAGGGAGGGGCAGAGAGAGAGGGAGACAGGATCCAAAGCAGGCTCTGTGCTGTCAGCGCACAGTCCAGACTCACGAACCATGAGATGGCAACCTGAGCCAAAGTCGGATGCTTAACCGACTGAGCCATCCAGGTGCCCCAAAAATAAAGAAAGAAAAATAAGAAATTGAGCTATAATTTTTAAAAGAGTTTATTTGTTTTTAAGTAATCTCTACACCCACCATGGGGCTTGAATTCACAACCCAGAGATCGAGAGTCGCATGCTCTAGCAACTGGGCCAGCCAGGTGTCCCTTCTGATTTTTCTTTAGAATCCCCTTAGGGAATTAGATGGAGTTTAGGAGAGTTATGTGTCAGGCTGTAATTTCTATACATCTCATTTCAGAAAAGAAGGGGGTGGGGGATGTTGGGACAGTTGAGGGCCACTGCTGTTGGCTGCTCTATTGCCATGATGAGGCGTTTCGAAGGTTTCTCCGGCAAACATTGCTTTCCGCGGCCTTTCGGGCCCTCCCCTTGGGCGGACAGGGCAAGGAGGACACTTACCGCATGCTGGAAGTCCATGGACATGCCCATACTCAGCTCAACCTGCTCAGTGGGGACGTTGAGCTTTTTACACAGCTCCTCTCGGAGGGACAGTAACGCCTAACAGAAGGACAAGTGTCACATTATTTCCTCCTGCCTTCTCCAAGGGTGTCTGAGAGTGGCTGAATCTGAACATCTCTGACAAAGACTATTGGTTCTTCGTGGTTTCAAGGCCTGTCCAAATTTCCAGAAGTTATCTAAAGTTTTTTAGCAAATGCTCCTACTTTCAAAACAATGATCAGTCACTGGAAAGGAGGAAAAGAGCTCATTTTCTCTAGAGACTGTGTTTTAGCCAGGTTCAAGGGGAGTTGAGGAGAGTTCAGAAGAGGGTCATAATACCCGACAGGCAATATCTGGGAGGGCTTTCAACTTTATTACAACAGCCAGCCCTGCAACAGCATTTCGTTCAGATGCTTCTCTAGTGCATGAGCAATCCCGCCATCCTTGGACCCCAGTACCTGGAAATCTGGGTTTGGTCCTTGACTAAGATCATGTCCAAAGCTTCCTATGGTCATCAGCCCCACGAACTCCAGGCTGGGGCACTTGGCATTTATGTGTTCCACCATGGCTACTGTCTCTGAAGGCAAAAGGCCATGTTTACCTTCACAAAAAGAAACAGAAGACACTTGTACCAAAATGTTTTAAGTAGCCAGAGGAAGGCTCAGTTTCCATCCCTTCCTTGTAACAGAGGAGGTGACTCTCGGACAAGAGGACTTCTTGAAAAACACATATCCTCAAGTCCTAAAGAGTAACCTAATTTTTGAGGTCTTTGTCTATGTTGCTTCCCTTCTGAATAATAACCATCTGAATCTCAGTGACATGAGCTGAGAACAGCTAAAGTACAGGGAAAAGAAAAAACACTGCTTTTCTTGGGACACCAACAAGACTCACATTGCCAAACACCAGATTTATCTGAGGATTCTTTTCCTAGTTCTGGTATTTCTACAGTTTCATTAATTTATTAGAATTGTAAACATTTTAAATTATTATTTTTTTTAATGTTTATTTATTTATTTATTTAGTTAGTTAGTTAGACAGCGAGTGCAAGTGGGGGAGGGACAGAGAGAGAGAGAGAGACAGAGAGAGAGAGAGAGAGAGAGACAGAGACAGAGAATCCCAAGCAGGCTCCATGCTGTCAGCACAGAGCCTGATGAAGATTATGACTTGAGGCAAAATCAAGAGTCAGACTCTCAATCGACTAAGCCACCCAGGTGCCCCAAGACTGTAAACATTTAAAAATAAAGTATCTATCACACGGGTTTCACTATATATTTTCAAAATTTAATTGAACTTGCCAATTAACAACTAGAGGAGGAATCTGCAGCAAATGATTATTTGTTAGGCAGTTATAAGGAATATTGATATCCTCTTTCCCTCATTTATCAAATGGAGATGCTAAGAACATTCACTTTAATCTTTAACTATAGCAAATTATAGCTAATTACCAAGAAATGATGTCACAGACTTGACCTGAAGTCAGTTTCAGACTTACCTATATTGGTAATGTAAGATATAATCTAGATATGTGTAGAAATAATGACAATTATTAAAATTTACAGAACACTTCTCTGCCAGGTACACATGCCAAGTCCTAAGAGCCTTTCACTTAATACAGTAACTATGAAGTAAGTACTCTTACTATCCCCCTTCCACAGATGAGGAAACTGAGGCACAGGAAAGCTAAGTACCTTTTCCAAGGTCATACAACTAGAAACTGTGCAACTGGGATTTCAGTCCGGGAAGCCTGACCTGAGGGCCCATCTAGAAAATAGCCTTGGCACTGTGCTCCTTCATATTACGGTTTGATGAACACTGGTCTGATGGTCATAAGCAAACGACTAATCTGTAAACACTCAATCAAGTGGCTAACAAGTGAGATGGGTGGGGTTCTATGCCAACAGCTTTGCCCGCATTAAGACTTATAATCCTTACAACACTCTCTGAAGTAGGCATCATTATGACAGCACTGTCTACCAGGGAAACTGAGGTACAGAGAGGCTAGGTAACTAACCCACAGTTATGACGGACAGTGCTGGAGGTCAAACCCAAGATCTGATTTCAAAGCTCCAGTTCTGTTCACTAGGTTACAACGTTAACGCAAGCCCCTTGAAGGTATTCATTAACGGGTGCTCACGGGATTTTCTTCTGTTCTCTCCCAAGATTATGCTAAGTAAATTTTTTTTAACACTGGAGAAGTGTTATACAGTTAACTATGCCGTCTCTTTTAGGAGTGATGGTGACTTTTGGGAATTTTCTGGAAATCAAAGTCACAATCCCCTTCCTGACTCGTCCAATTTTGGGCCACCTAAAAATTAAGAAATAACAACCCATGATGTTATGAAAGAATTATATGTGGATGGGCTTAGATGTCACTGTGCCTTCTAGATCCTACTTACAGGCATGAAACGTCTTACTTACAGGCCCATGATTTCCTTCTATAACCTTAGCTATCAGATACTTAGGCCTGCCATTCTTGCTGACCTTCAACCATCCTAAGGGAAGAAAAATCTATAGTTAGGTCTGGTCACTTACTCTCCTCTCCACTGGTGTTAACCTGGACCATAACCTTTAACCTTTCAGGAGAACCTTTTTTCTGCCACGAACTGTTCACTTTGTCTGCCAACTTCACAGAATCCACTGTTTCCAGCATGAAGAGATTGGGCACAGCTGTAATGAGAAAGAGGCAAGGTAATTCTCCACTCGTCCCGGTGTGGCAAGCAACGCGCAACCAATATTTGACTTGGCAGATGGGAAGACAGTTTTCCAGAAAAAGAACAAGACAGTTAAGTCTCAGTTCTGCTAAGACTCACGTGACAGTTTTACTAGATGTGAGTTCGGATGTCGGCCCATTGCTATCTAATCAGAGAAGACGAACAGGGGGAACGCTGACGCACCACAATCCGGCAGCGTGCCAACTCTAAGAGCTTCCTGAGGGTCGGGAATTGCAGAGATTCCTAATAGCAGGCTTGATCCGACTAAATCGCAGCTCACACAGCGAGAAACAGGTCAAGATGACAATAAAGAGACGATAACCAATGGAGGCCAAAGTGCTTCCCTGGCATGCTAACACCATGTTCTTAAACTGTGCACTGGGGTGCTCTCATTCAACAAGGACATCAGAATGACCTCAATATGGAGAGCTAAGGGAGATGCTGATGTCATCAAAGCCATCTTCTTTTCCAGAGATGCATGTGAAATGAAGTATTAGTCTTGCCCAGATAAAGAACGACAAAGACAGAAGCAGCATCAGCAGCTTGCATTTATAAACACTGAAATCCCCCAGGCAATTTGCTAACTGTTGTATATGCATGATTTCTTTTTAATCTTTTTCTTAATTATTTTTTTTTATTTTTTAAAAAGATTTTATTTTATTCTATTATTTAACTTTTTTAAATGTTTATTTATTTTGAGAGAGAGAGAGAGATAATGAGCAGGGGAGG